GACATCTTGGCTTCACCGTCCTCTGTCTTGTTGCCCGAACTTAAGTTGAAATTTTTCGCGCCTTTTTACCGTCCTGGCCCCAGGCCGCCCGTGTACGCTTCCAACCGTCCCAGCCGACCGTAGTGTACAATCTTAAAGTCCCTAGTAACATGCTCATACCTGTCCATTATGTAAAAGTCATCCAATGATTCCAAATAGCCAGCATAACTTGAAAAGGACATCCGCTTAGCACCTGTAAAACGTTTACTTTTTAGAAACAACGCTGTACGTGGAAAATCCTAAACGTGTATAAATCTTTGAACTGCCTTACACTTGATTACATGTCTTCAAAATCCATACTAAGCAGCGATATATTTCATTCCTACAACTTTAGAGATTCTGAAAAAAGCTTGCTGTTCCCTTGTCACGAACCAATTACTATAGGAACAGCTTCTGCTACAGCGAGGCTGTTCTGTGGAACAATTTGCCCTCTGATGTAAGACAAGCAAAATCTTTGACTAGCCTTAGGGAACTGTTAACTTCTAGCTTGAACAAGGCATTCATGGAAAACAGGCCCTTAATTTTTAAAATCAATTTTATAAATTAATTTATTATTTTTAGGGTGGCCCTGACGTTCAAGGATTTTTACGCAATAATAGTTATACTGAAAAACACTTAAATGTAGGTGCGTTTAGGTACAGTATGGCAAAAGGTTTTTTTCAAAAAATACTGTTTAAAACAAAACCAGTATTTGTAGCTTCTGAGTAAAAGAGAGTTGGCTTGTAACGCGTAGCCTGGGTACATCGCCCGCCCCCCTCCGCCTAACTCCCAAAATCCCCAAAATCGGGCTTGTAACACGGGGTTATAAAAATTCTTTAAAAAGATACCTGCACATAATAATAATAATAGTTGCGGGCGACAAGAGCAGCCCGCAATCCTAATCTCGAGGCTGTTATTACGCATGTATGCCAGCATTCGTTTGGACTTCCACTAAGAATGAATGGAATGCACAGAATGTACTTTGATCACGCGTGTTTGGACTTTCTGTCGCTCATAATCTGATCACGCGTGTTTTGACCAACTGTCATGTGAAACTTACGCAAAGCACGGCGCTGGAGCAAAAGCGTTTTTAGCGTTGTCGCCCGCACTCCGTAACCTTTGGTTATTGCTAATAATAATAATAATTATAGCATTTTATAGAAGTTGGCGATGACGTAAAAAAAGGCACGTCCAGGGGGAAAAAAGTGTAGGTTCCGCAAAGAAGGAGAACTGGTTCTTAAACAGACCTGTACTTGGATCCTTCAGGTTGAAGAAGTAATGTTTGTATATCCTCATCACCGCAGCATATGCAAACCAGCTGAAATGTAACATCAAAGTTGGTGGTGAATCACTCTGCAGAGTAGCCAGAGGAAGGTTGCGCGTAAGATTGCTGGGACGCTGGCCAATACGCCACTTCCACATCTCCCATAATGCACCTTATTTGCCCCCCAACACTTTGCATAACCTCAACTTCGTTCCCAGGGTTCTCTCCTACCCGCCCTACGGAGGGCGGGTAGGAGAGAACACCGGGAACGAGGTTGGCATAACCTTTGTTTTTTATTTCTCCTGGGTATTACAGTCGTCCCAAGAGAAATTGAGAACAATGCTAATGCAAAATTTTGGGGGCAAATAAGGTGCATTATGGGGAGTGCGAAACTGGCTTATACTCAAAGTCACTACAATCTTGGACAATCTTGCATACTTGAAGAACATTTTCCTAAACATCGCCCCACAACACCCCCACCCCCGGGGAAGCAGTGGTGTTGTGTCTAAAAGAACGCCTCATTCCCTGGGTGTCAGTGGGAAGCAACGTTGAACTGGGGGGGAAGGGGTCTTCTTTACGCAAAGTTGCTGATTTGGAAATAGTTCTGTTGTGTGAAGTAGCAAACGCAAACGAGAAAAAAAAAACGATCTCAAGGTGTTCTGTCCGGGATTGTAGCTATAGCAACACTTGAGGATGTATATGTTGTGGCTCAATTTTATCCTTGGTTTAATTTTTCTTTTCTTTTCTTTTAAACTCATTATCATAAATTACCATACACAAAAACAAAAGAAAATAAAAATTAAACCAAGGGTAAACTTGTACCACAACGTACACACCAAACCTTTAATTAGACTGAAAACATTACAATTATTGTGTAATATAAAATAGCTGAGCTCCCTTACCTTGAATGACCTGCAAATATATCTTCGTACCCTGGACGAACTTTTATTAAAGCAGAGCAGTGGCCCATTTTTCCCAGCTAAAGTTGAAAATAAATAAATAAATAAATGGTAATAACCAAAGGTTATGGAGTGCGGGCGACAACGATCAAAGGCAAAACGCTAAAGTTCCAATGCTTTGCTTTGCGTAAGGTTCACGTGATAGATGGTCAAAACACGCATGATCAGATTACGAGTGATCAAGGACCAAGCGCGAATGATCAAATTGCATTCTTTGCATTCCATTCATTCTTAGTGGAAGTTCAAATGAATGCTGGCTACATACATACGACGAACGCAAAATAACAACCTGGAGATTAGGATTGCGCGCTCCTCTTGTCGCCCGCAATAAATAGATCAAATTATGATATCATTTGGTGTCATATTTTTTCTTGTGTTTGCTTGTTCAAATTAATACCATTCAACTACAGGCAGGGGTTTAAAGTACTTTACAAGAACAATGAGTGTGCTCATAAGCGTTTTTACCAGTCATTAAAGCTAATTCAAGTTTGAGCTTCACAAATAATTCAAACACGTAATACAAATGCACCCCCAAGTTGTTCAAAAGGAGGATAATGCTTTACACTGGATACATCGATATGCAACGGATAATACAATTGGTTACTCAAGCACTGGATAGCGATGAATCCAAAAATAGCATAATCCAACGAAACAACCAGGCCAAGGATAAAAACGCCAACAAGCAGGAGGCAATTAGTTGAATTGCCTATAACTTGAAAGAATGATCAAGGAATTGGAATAAAGATAAACAATAAAAAAAGCCAGCAGGTGGACTGGAACCCAGGCCTGCCAGAGGTTAAGGGTCTGTCGCACTGACCATTCAGACAGGGTGCCATCTTAAAGTGCCTCAATTTCTCGAGAAAACAAAAGAAATTTCTATAATTCCTACGAACTCACATCCTCAAGGTTAACTCACCTTGGTTAAAATCTCACTGTCAGACATTTTACTCCAATCAGGCAGTGTTTTGGGATTGAGTACACCCTCAAGAGTGATATAATCACCCACACCATTCAAGATTTGAAAAGCAAACTTGCCGAGTGCCTTTAAGAAAAACAAGTATGAGGAATCATTTGTCAAAAAATAAATAAATAACAATGACAAAGAAATCCAGTAATACAGCGTACTCTTAGGCTATAACAACTACAGGCCCCGGGCTTTGCAACTAGTCATCATGCTGGTAAAAACAAGAGAGCAAGAAAAGGTTATTTTTTGTCTCTTGCTGATCTCCAATGTGGCGGTTTGGCACCATATGAGTTAGACTGGCTGCAAATGACTTACTGTAGAACCCTGGTAACTCAAACTCTAAACAGCTCAAGTTAGCGGGGAATTCAAATTATCGGGGTAAATTTCAATGAAATTTTGATCAAGGGAAAAGAAATTTAGTTTGAGTTAGTAGAGAATACGATTTATCCGAGATTGAGTTATTGAGGTTCTACGGTGTTACTAAAAATGCTGCATTTCAATGGACCCTCCATGTGCAATATTACCTCTGGTATTTAGCGACCACGCACCTATCCAAAACATATTGCATTGGTTCCTTATACATTGTAGAAGATTCAACTGTATTATGTATTTTTTTCTTATTTACAAAGTAAATAACCGAATATATTCATATAGAGATTTGCGCTATATAAATGTAAATGATTATTATTATTATTATTATTATTATTATTATTATTATTATTAAAGTCACTTCATCAAACAACTGTAAGTTAGTACCTGCTCTGTAGCTGGATAATCCGTATAACCAGCAATCAGCCCTGAATAATGAAAAGTCAAACTCAATTGTGATTGATAACAACTACCTACAGGACAGTAAGTTAAACTTAAAATAATGCTGTAATTACAAAATGATTCTCAACAACGTGATGTTCTGCATTTATCCAACATATGAAGATAGTGCCTACATTTTAAACCAAATTGTAGGAGCTGGCCAAAAAAGCTACCTGTACAGTCCCTAAAGTGAGATATTGTATTACATTTACATACCATCATACTGGGACACTATGTTCCCCATCTGTTTCCACAATGAGCTACTGTTTGATTCACTTTTAATTTTACTTCTCATCCATTCCTCCTAGGAATGAGAAGAAATCAAAGATCGGTCGTCCTGAGTTCAAATCCTCGGCCACACCATTAACCCTTTAAGCCCCAAGATCCAAATACAAATTCTCCAGACTGATCTCCATACATTTCTTTTAAGAATAGTTGACAGTCCCAGATCCGAGTCCCCCTTTGGTCATCAATTTAGCCACTTTACTGGATTGGTTCTTGAGTTCAAATTGATCGGCCACTCTTGGGACCTAAATATAACCAACTGGTTGCCTCCTGCCAGTTGGGGCTTTTAGTCCTGTTATGTTGTAGTTGAATACTTAGAAACAAATAATTAATATTTGTTTCTAACTATTTGAGTGGAGTGCTTGTAAACTAGCTGGATAAGCTAATTGCACTTTCCACTCTCAACAAGCCTTAAAACCGCTAAACCCTTTTAACCTGGAATCTGTTAAATCTGTGATAGGTTTTTCACTCATGACTAGTAGAGGCCAGAGAATTAGATTTACGATCAAATTTTCTCTTTGTAAAATCCCTAGAAATAAATAATATAATTCCCTTGAAGTGTAACTGCATAGGGTTAACGTTCTGTCCACAGATTTTAAGACAGAATCCTCCAGGAAATTGAGTAATTTTAATTTTCAGTAGACAAAAACCTTGTACCAGAATAATTTAGAAAATATTACAATCTTTTTTACATTTTTCAAGGGCTATAGATGTACCCTTGTAAAAAATTATCAGGGATAGCGACGCGGTGATCGCGAATCGCGGCGCGATAACAGCAATCGCGATGCACTTAAAACAAATCGCGCTCGCGATAGCGACGCGATGATCGCGATCGCAGCGAAGTTATAGCGATCTCAGCGCGATGATCGCGATGGCGGCGCGATTTGAAAAATCGCTTCCGCGATTTCAGGGGCAGGATTGCGATCCTGGCGATGAAATCGCGATCGCTGCGGCATTGTACTTATCGCGGCGTGGTGATCGCGATCGCGGCGACGATATAGCGATCGCGGCGAAGTTATAGCGATCATCAGCGCGATGATCGTGATCGCGAAAAATCGTATGTGTGATCTTAGGGTCATGATTGCGATCCTGTCGATGAAATCGCGATCGCAGCGGCTTTGAACTCATCGCGGGGTGGTCATCGCGATCGCGGCGAGATTTAGTAAAGTCACATCCGGCGATCTCCAAATGCTATGCTCTCGATCCTGGTGCAGTAATCACGATCGCGGGGTGGTGATTGCGATCAATCTAATTAAGTCGCGTCCACAATCTCAGTGCCATTAACGCGAAGGAGATAACCGACGATCACAGTTATCGTCACGATTTTTCTTATAAGTCAGTCGTATGGTCAATATTCTTTTAGCCATCTCACGTCTTTTCCGTCCGTTTAAGTTGTTTTTAGCTCGTCTTGTTATTCCTTTTCGTTCGTGACCCGTCAGTTAACTGGCCATATTTGGTTTCATCAGGGACCGCGTTTTCCCGCTTCAGTATGAGCCATAATCCCACCCGTTTTTTCCACACGTTAGTTGATTCACACGGCGCATTGACTGTATAGGCGTGTTCGTCTTGTTTGTTCTTTTCAACGTTTAGAGTTTGTTTTTGTGGCGTTAGTTTTCATTTTTATAGGTTTCATCTGTACGTTTAGACCGTTTTAAAGTGTTAGTTTTGTCTTCCCGCTTCGTTTCCGTAAGTGTTCGTTCTCTCATGTTGGTTTGTGCCGAGTACGTCTTGCCCTGTCACCTCTTTTTTTCATATAGAGCGATTTCAATTCCTTGGGACTCCCTTCTTTATTATGCTAATGTCAGTTAGCTAGTAATTGAGCGGCATGTCGTATTTTTTCAACTCGTTATGCTAGAGAGATAAACGGATGTTCTCGACTCTCCCAACCAGATCAGGTTTTGTTACGAAAAGGGCGTTATATTTTATTCGGCTATATGCCCAGCAGCCTGGAAGGATCTTAAAAAAACTCTGCCCGGCAAAATGAATCCTGCACGTACGTACAGTGAAATCCTAGTTGCTTATGGCGACCATTTTATGATAAATTTAGGTTGCCAAAAGGCAACTTTGAAAAAATTTGAGCTTGGAGCACTGATCAAAGACAAGTGTTGTAAAGTATACACTGCCACAAAGGGCAGGCAGTGTGGCTTTGATATTGAAACACCAGTTGTACTTACCTGAGAGAATATCGCCTGTCTTTAAAATTTAATTAGGGGAAAGGAGAATTAAAAATAATTAAAAATAAAAAGGAGAGGGTAGCCTAGGGATTGATACAGCTGCTTCTTATCATCCGCTGCAACTGAGAAGTTCGGAGAGAGAATTATGGAAATATCAATATCAGGTGTTCATTATATAGGGGTAAGGGAGACCAGAATTGGAAAGGAGGATGAAGTGGTGGAAAGGAAATATTTCACAGATCTTCTGTACTTTGAATTCCTCCAAAAACTTCACTTGCCCGTCGGGCAAGTGAAGAACAGAATTCACTTGCCCGATAACAAAATCCACTAGCCCCGGGCTATCGGACACTACTTTCTTTGCATGCTGCCTGATGCTTGGTAAAATAGTTACATGACTGTACTTTTGAATTTGAATTTTGTATGAGAATTAAGTCTCTTATTTGTCTAATTGCCTACATATTTCTAACTAAAAAAAAAGAGAAATGTTGACGAGAATATAATTCTCAACCTCATGATCATGAAAGTTGCACTTAAAATGTTATGATTATTAAAAATCTTCCTTCACAATTTTTCAGTATCTCTGCAACCTACACTTTAAGCTAGAGCCTGTAAATTATGTAGGTTACTGATCACGAAAAAGAAAAATCATCATTTATTATGTACCTGCTTGTCATACCAATTTTTCACCTTTTCCATGAATGATTCTGAAGACTCACTGAAGAATTCGTCATGGATGTTAACATAGTTTTCATTTATCCTCCTGTATAGTTATAACAAAAGAAAAAGCCACATTAGACTGGAATCCTGGGAAATCCCTGGGGAGTGTAATTTGCTAACCCTCCCTTTATCATGATCAATGCATGTAAATGATAAAATGTAGTTCTTGCAGTGCTGGGTGAGTCAGGGGGGAGGAAGGTCATCTGTTCCCTTAGATAATATATACGTACATTTTAGGATGACAGGTGGTCCAGCTGATCCTCCTCTTCTATTTCTTTTTTTACCAAATAAAGCCCTTTTTTCTTCTGTGGGTGAGCCTCAGTTTGGGCATCCAAAAATATTTTTCATGGGTCCCTTTTCTGGGTCTCAAAAGTGGCCCTCTCTCTGTTTCCATCCCCTTCCCCCTGCCACTTTCTGCATAAGTTACAAGGATGCGATCATACATAGTTGAATAGTCCTTCTGGAAATCTCTGAGGTCAGATTTCTATTAATGAAGGACTCTGGGCGAGAATGTCCCCTTGAAAGTCTGACCCTGGAAAGTGCTGTGCAGCACAAAGTTGTGCAATTGGGTTTCTCCTTTTAATTAGTGCAGATGATTAACATTCTTGCAAACATTCTCTTTGGTGTGTGCATCATATTTTCTCAGACGTTAGTAAACAAAACACATCCACTTTGAAACCATCAACAAAAACTGACACCCTCCTGATCCCCAAGGAAAAAACAGCCCTTCTCCCTCCCCAGACAATTTTGTTTTTATTGATTAAGGTCAAACTACATTTGTAACAATAAATATAGAGACAGTTAATTATTATTTTAGAATTATAATTTGGTGTACTGTACAAGGTGCATGATCAAACAACACCTTTACCTTTAGGCTTCACTTTCGAAAACTGCATGTATTCTTACTACAACATTGAGCAAGGGGGGAGTGGATAGTGCAACAATAGTGCTGAGGGTGGTACAGTGTATACACAGTCATGTATATAAGGACAGCAATGAGATTGATATGGAGCACAGAATGGAATAAAACAAGCAACATTGCTGCTATAGCAGCTGACATGCAACATGACGTGGCAGGATAAAAGACGCAGCTTGCAGGGATAGGCGTGTCCAATAGCCAAGGGCTAGTAGATTTATAGCTATCAGGATAGTGAATTCTGTTCTTGACTAATGCCTGGTGAGCAGATGAAGTTTTTGGGGGAATTCAAATTATACAGAAGATGTAATCAATCCTGCTCATTAAAAAAACTTCTGCGCTAGTCAAAATGATATCTTGGTATAGTACATTCGAGTACATGCCTGAACTCTAATGGCAAGCTGAAAACTGACTTTCTCTACACCCTGAAGATGATAGCTAGGAAACTTAAGTTAGCTTAACTGACAAATGCACAAGCTTGCAGCATACAGACATGCATGGCTATGCAGATAGATAGATAGATAGTTTATTCTGATTAAAATCGCAGCCAAAAGCTGAATTAGATTAATCGTTACAATAATAAAATCTAATAAAAATATGAGAAAAAAATATAAGAAAAATATACACATATGTAGCTAAAAATTTAATTACAGTTGCTATATATAAATGTGTTCTTAAGTCTCTTCATCTTAGCCAGAGGGACATTAAAATTCCTCTTTCGTCTTAAATTGGATTCACAATTGTTACGAGGTGGCAAGAGCTCATGCAGTTTATGGTCTGAGTTACAAGTGATGGAATCAAAAAGCTTAGTTGTGATAGACTGCCTGTGTCAAGAGAGCGTCTCCAAGTTGCCTTCATGTAACGCGTCGCTATATGGTACAAACGGAAAAATAATTCGCATGGCGCGCTTCTGTAGCTGTTCTAACTCTGCAGATAAAATAATATGCGGGAAGCGCGTTGTGAAACACCAGGCATGCGTATTCCGTTTCTGGGCGGATACAGGTCAAGTAAAAGATTAGCAGATCTTTGGCGGGAATATTCGCTCTCTTCAGTTGATTAAGAAAATATAATCGACTCGCTACTTTTTTACTTATTTCAGCAACATGACCGTTCCACCGGAGGTCCGATGATATATTTAGACCTAACAACTTAACGGTGGACACTACCTCTATTGCTTTCCTGTTGATAACAATGGAAGCAAAGTCCGCGGCTGATTTAGGGAACAAAATCTGTAGTTCCTTACACTTCGACTCGTTTAGCTGGAACTTGTTTTGGTTAGACTTATCGATCAGTTCCTCCACATCAGATTGGATATGATAAATATAATTTATTGCTACTCACTTAGCAGTCAAGGCTCCCTCGAGATAACCAGCAGCATACATGATGGTCGTGTCACTGTAACTGGTTTCTCCTGTACCTGACACAATGTCCAGCTCACCCCATCTACAAATTAAGGTATACAGAAAAATTAAGCAAGAAAAACTTAGAGTTACATTGTAACCTTTCACATCCTGGTAATTTTTCAATAGATCTGTCCATTACTAGCCCTTTTTACACACTACTAGAAATCTTTTTCCTCCATTTCAACTGCCTGTCTGCCAGAAAACTATGAACAAACACTTCAAAGAGTACGTCACACCTTTCACTTTCATTAGATACTTTAATGCATTATTTTTTTCCCCACAGATCTGTCTATTGCTAATGATTTCTACACACTAAAAGATCTTTAGCTTCCATTTGAACTGCCTTAAAAAAAAAAAAGACAAATAAACAACCCCCCCTGGCCCTCGCCCTCAGATTACAGCTAGGACGAGGACATTATTTTTTCAGCCCTGCATACAATTTACCCACAGTAGGTGGGCACTATTAACATACATTTCAAAGTTCTCAACAAATAAATATCAAATAAATAAAAGAAAACTATTTCCCTGGTAAAAATTTATCAGTGATAGTGCCGCGATCGCTGATAAATTATTACAAGGGTTAAGCTGTCTTATTTAAATTATTTTTTGTCATATATTAAAATAACAAGCAAATAAAGTCCTCAAAGGACATCATATATTATGTTATGCCGGGTAGTTAATGTTGTGTGAAGAAAATTATTGTCACTGTGTGTCACCCACAGTACAGTACTTATTTAAATAACAATTTTGAAGTTAAATGCATCCAACACTGTACTTATATTCATACCCTGTGGAATTTATGTTGTCAACATAAATACCATAGGCAACTCCTTTTTCTTTGTCCAAAACTCCAAACTCTATGTGATATTTTCTGTGAAAAAAAGAAAGAACAAAAAAAGTGTATAATGATAGTTATCAAAATTAAAAGATATATTATCAAAATATCATCAGATACAGCAAATTAAATGCCCAGTTAAATTTTTTTGTGGGCAGTTGAGGCGATTGATTTGGAAATCACCCCAGTTGTTCGCTTCATGTAAGGGAATCCGGATTCCGGAATCTGGGAAAATTTTGCTTATGGAATCCGAAATCCTAGGTTTTGAAATCCAGAACCCCACTAACGATTGGAATTCCGAATCCAAGTTCTGCTGACAAATACTGGAATCCAGTACCTTGAATTCCGGAATCCACAGTGCGGAATCCAGAATCCAAGACTGTCTTGGATTCCCCTACATGGGGCGACAGTTGTCTTGAATCTGCACCACAATAATATTGTTGTACATCAGGCGTGCAATAAGCAAGAAGTCGACAACTGGATATATTCTTAAGGAACTCAACTTCTCAGCACTGGACTACATAATGATGTTTGTTAGCTTAATAACTTCTAAGCAGGACTACATATAATGATGTTTGTTAGCTTAATAACATTACTGCCTTGTAAAATTTGTAAGGAGAGGAGGATCATGGGTTAAATCAAAGTAAAGCCATTTGAGAAGAAGGAAGGAAGGAAGGAAGGAAGGAAGGAGTCAAGGATGAGAGGACAACAGACATGCCCTCTTTACAATAACATGTGAACATGTATACTAACATTTGAACAGTAAGCTAGGACGTCAGCATACAAAGGCACCACTGGCAGCGGCTCTCAGTCCATTTATGAGCTTACTGTACCCTCCCAACCCATGATGTGAATGATGTGTTGTGTTGTGTGAAGTTTGACCTCAACACCGGGGTCCACATCCTCTACTCTTTTTGAACAGTGATGTAGGTTCTTTTACATCCCACACTTAGCCAGATAAGTGTAAGTGCTGTAAGAGACGACCTATGGTTTTTCTTTCTTACCCGATAAGACTAGAAAGTCTAACCGTTTGCAGATGTCATTACAAAGGCAGCACTTTCTTCTCAGTCATTTTTAAAAAGACCCCGAGCAATGGTCTGGCGGGGGTTCAAACCCGTGACCTCCTGCTCAGGTGCTCTCCCAACCAAGCTAACCAGGTGGTGGTTGTTATAGGAAGGCTATAAAGGATTTCTGTTAAACCCTTGTAACTAAATAAAAACACTGGCATCCCTGTTCACTTGAATGGGATGCCTAGATTTAAATTTTCTGAAATATTTCCATTGTCCACACTGTGTTGCGACAGTGACTTGTACATGGCAAAACGTTGACCCTTTGATGGGGTTATCCAACAAGCAGACAGGGTATACCCAGTCTGTCATGAGGCAAGTGGATAGGCTTTTAGGGGGAGGGGGTGGGGGAGTATGTGGGACTGTCCCTAGTCTAAATTTCAAATACAGGTATGGTTGTTTCACGTTTTGAGGAGTAGGCCATGTCCATGTCATTATTTAGCCCATCTTTATGTCGTTTCTCGCTGTTTCATCTAATTGTCTGTCGCTGTTTTAAGGCCATGTCACATTAATTGACAGAATTTTAATTTAAGATGAAGGGTTACATAATCCTGATAGTCTTTGAATACTTGGCCTTTTGAGGATCTAGGCCCCTAGGTTACCTGAAACCGTCAACTTATTTTTAGGCCAAAGGCCACTCCAGGCCGGGCCCCGCTTCTTAACTTAGATTCACCACTGCCTAAACAGGGCTGGCCTTTACATACACATTTCTTTTTGGCACATAAGGCTTCTCTGTTTCACTTTCAAGAACGAGGCTATAGAAACATGAGTACATGTACTTAGTATTAGTTCATAAATTTAAAAAAATGACCACATATTCTGAAGCTAAAGTTCACAAAAAAAAATAAGACAAACGATTAAATAAAAACTCGATTCTCAATTCAAGCTTGCAGAAATATAATAGATCATATAGCTTATCTCTGCAAAGAACGAACTTCCTCGTAGTGGCGTGAATCGCTACGTACAGTATATCTTCATTCTAAAGAGTCTTACCCTTTGGTATAGTACACTGTACCATTCATCGAATAGCCTGGGTCGCTATGAGAAAGCCTTACAGTGGACAAAAGGCAAAGTAATGTAAACAGCATCATTTTCGACTCCACCACCATCAGATCGAACTTTGAAAGCTCACCGAAAGCGACACCGAAACCAACAGAAGATGGAGACTGGGTACCAACGCTACCCGGAATAATCGGAGGATGTTCGGGGGGTTTTCGCAGTGAGTCTTCGGAAGTCCTCGACAAATTTGTCACTTACCGTAAAGTTGCGAAAGTAACGACCCCTCGAAAGTAGCGGAAGACCAGGCAGGAATCCAACTCAGTTAAAGGCCTACCTCCGAAACTAGCGATAAAATGTCACAGGTGTTAGCAAATCCCGAAGGTAACGACCCCCCCCCGAAAATAACGACCCTCCGGCCTCCGAAAGCAGAGAGCTCAAAACGAATTTCCCGTTTTGCAAAATCCCTGTGTGACGTGGCCACTCTCAATTTCTCTTCTCTAGGTCTTTAAATCATGTTCAACTTTTCTTGGGGGAGGGTAGATGTGGGGGCTGGGGGGAGGGGCGGAGGAATGGAGGAGGGTGATCGTCTACGTAAGGACTGCTCATTCACTATATTATTAGCCTCAACTTGGGCTCTAATTCGAGGCGAAGGGAGACAACGAAGGGAGTGCCATGGACAGTTATGGCCTCAGAATGGGTGGAGTGGACTATTGGGCATCAGCTTTAGCTTGTCATTCATTTCAGGGGGTCTACACCTTAATAAACAAATAAATAAATAACCTGATTCATTGATAATTACACTAAATTGGAAGTGAAGTGCTGTTCCATGTAAAAAGTTTAAGGGCTGGGTTAAACATGAAATCACATGATCTTCTAGTCTCAAACGTTGTGTGACCTGATAAAAATGTCTTCGTCGAAGACTCAATATACTTTAAATTTTAACCAAGATCGTTGGAAGAGGAGAGTAAATTGATGGTGTATAAATGGACAAGGTTGAAGTTAAATTCTATTGTATTTTTTATCTAGCATGAGTTTTATAACTCCGGAAAGGCTTATTCTTTGACACCATTAGTTTCCGAAATAAACACAAATACGAACATATACAAACAAGGAATGCCCAAAGATTTTAATGAATTATCAGCGAGGATTATTTCTGATGTATTCATTCTTCTGTACTTCATAAGCTAATACAAGTCTTCGATAAAAATTTGGAATGATCAGGAAAACCTTAATTATAATCAAGTCGTTTTTTTTATTCGCCTCGTAAGGCTTACAAAGAATGGATTGTGTTCGAGATCTACAGCGATCCACAGCTGATAACTGATTGGTACTCATAGACAACAGCGCTGCAAGACAGATGACGGGACAAATGAGTAACTCAGTTACCGGTACTACAGTAAATAACTCTCCTTCGCAATTGCATCTGACTTTTGGGTCATCCCCGATGTAAAAAACCCTTTGACGTATTTCTTTGTTTTCTAGCAATTATTTTCCTTGGCTATATTGTGTTGACTTCCCAGTGGCTTCTTTGTATTAACTAGGTTTTACCGCACTCGTCACATGGGCGGATCCAGGATTTTTTTTAGGAGGGGGTGCATTCGTCTCTTGCTCTACTTCAACACCAATAAACCACATAGTTTTTTTTTCAGAATACCAGTTGTATTAGAAAACCGCAGGTCATCTCAGGGGGGGGCGCACCCCTGCACCCTCCCCCTAGATCCGCCCCTGCGTCAGACTCGTGAGTTTCACAGGTTTTTATACCGAGCAAAAGCGACTTTCGACTTTAAAAACCCGATACATCAACACAACGAATGCCACGTGAAACCACGAGGTCGCAGATTCAAGTCTGTGACACACGAAAGTCTATAACAAGTTTATCTCAATTTCCTTTTACAGTATGTGTTCAGAGGAAAACATTATCAATAGCCTTTCTTAGCACTCACAAAACTGTAAAATTTAGGCCTACATATTCACTTCGCTTCAAAGCATGCTACGCGGCGGGGCCTGGGAACTGCTAACAAACATCCGCGCAGCAAGCTCCAGTGCCCGAGATAGTTGGGTCCGCGAAATTGAGAAAGCGTGAGAAAAATAAAACGGGAGGAAACTGCTCCCTTCTGTCCCCTTCTCCCATATCACACGCTTGTATTCTCGCATGCCTTCTAAACTTACTCAACATTCTTACTATCTGAGATCCTGGAACAGGCTACAAGCGTACAGGTCGAGATCTCATGTCAGAAATAGGTAGCCGCCAGATGCGGACAGCAATTAAACAGGCCAGGTGCTCCTGGACTTTGCTATACTTCAAGCTCTCCTCTATCCTAATGCGTGATGTCTCTAATGATTCTGCACCGCGTACAGCATCAATGGCATGTTGACTCTCCCAAGTCAAGTTCACAATTACAACACCCGATCGCCTTCTGCTGGTAATGTACGACTGGATATTCAAGTTATCACCCTTCCAAGGTACAGTGTCATGGGAATTATCTTGCTTATCGTGATCATTAATATAATAATCGCCGCTGTCATGTTCATCATCATCATCGTCATCTTTATTGACAAACATTGCTTAATTTACAGTCTAAAACCTTTAATTTTATTTTAAAACTGGTAAGTTTGTGTTTTTAGTTTCTTTGTCATAAGTTAAAACATTAATTATTGTTAGAGTTAAATATTTATTTTCAGGGTTCTCTGTAATCTCTAGACTTCGTTCTTGGACCATGTATCTGGATTTATTGGTGCAAACTTAATTTAAGATTCAATGTATTTTCATCCAGGACAACAGGAAACTACTCTTTTAGGATCTCTGTTTGATTCCGCTTTATCGTTGCAACGCGACATACGGGGTCATCAGGTCCGACAGGATACTTGTTCGACCAGTACAAGTAATACACCCAAACATTCATCTTAGTGAACTTCGTCAGCTGTAAAAAAATCATATCATTGTCATAATAACTCAGAGCCTCCTCCTTTTAATTTTTCGCAGTGGCTAAAGGTTCGTATCCCTCTTGTTAATGGCGTATGTAAATGTAAAGCCTAATTCTCATATGCTGCCGATGTATCTTCGAAGTAGCCGCTGGTACCACCTGGGCTACTTCTCGGACGAATGAGAACATGCGCGGCCGGCAACTAGAACAATCGCAGAGCTTTACCGCCGGCATGCCTGCGAAGTTGAACTTGAGTCAACTTCACAGGCATTCCGGCGGTAAAGACTGGGATGACCAATTCTGCCGGCCACTTCTGTTCTCATCCCAGGCAGCACCGGCGTACATGTCGCAGGTGCATCGGCGGCATATGAGAAGCAGGCTTAACTTGTTTTATAATTTGTCTGTTCAAGAACTCGCTTAAAAGTTTTCGTACGTTCCGGGACGAATTAGACTTGCGTCAAGATCTTTGCAGTTGGTGTATTTCATCTCGGTGGTAGTGCAGTCCAGTTTTTTTGGGCACAAAAATTATAGTGTGTAAATAAACTGGAATATCGAAATGCTGGTTTTTGAAGAAAAGGGAAAAGCGGGGCTCCCGCTGAAAAACCTACGAGGCGTCGATTGCGGACTTGAACCCAGGCCGCATCAATCTCGTACACAGAGTCTTCTGGCTGTTTGGTCAGCGGGGCAACCCCAACTGACCAAAAAGCCAGAAGACTCTGGGTGCAAGATTGCGGCCACATTGGTGGGTTACACGAGCTCTCAACACTTCGCCATCCCTGATAGCGTACGTTATGAGTCATAAACAACAAAGCTGCCTTAAACTTACGTCAAGATCTTTGCAGTTGGTGTCTTTCATCTTAGTGGCACTGCAATCCAGCTTCTTGTTCACAGGTATTAACAGCTCGTAATAACCAGAGGGGCTTGTACATTCCTCCTTTCCCATCATCAAGCCTGAATCAATTGGACCATTTAAGGAGTGGCTGCACATCGGTGCCCATCGACGATCATCCTTTTCGACACAGTACCCTAAAACCCAGGATGACAGAGAAGAAGTTAACTACTGTTTCGTCAAAAAAAACACACACACACAAAAAGGAGTAATTAAAATTGTGAACTTTCGCATTTTTATGTAAACGTGACGTTTCGTAAACTAGTCAACATACATTTTCTGACCGTTTCAGATTATGACAAAACTATTTATACAATATTGACAAGGGGTATGGAAATGAGATCAGTAGAAAAAGATAGTCGTTGTCTTGCCTTCACGTCCACCACAAAACATGAAATTAGGCAGTTTCACGCCGTAGTCGTGCAACGACGGCAACGAAACTGGATGTACAAAAAAGCGTGATGCACTCTTTGCAGAGTTGTTGTTTTGCTAATCTAACCTATTGCCTTTTTGTCTTCCTCAGTTGCCGTTGCCGCTGCCGTCGCCGTTGTCTGACGGCGACGCCAATGAAAACGTCACTGAAAGCTGACTTTTCGTCCTAGTTTTAACGTTTTCTCCATTATTCCGCCTCGTTTATTCCTTTAAGAGTTGGGAAATTAAGCTGTAGCTGAAAAAAGGAGACCGCGTTCGAACTCAAAACGATACAGTAAAATTTATAGTCCTACTGTTCCCGTTCTTTAGAGAATTCAAAATCTACTAGTAATTAAAAGTCGATGTCGCGCTGGGACGGTAAAAAAAAATGACAGAAAAGTGAGCTTGGAAAGAACGCGAGACGGTGTGAATTGGTGGGAATCATTGGCTTGAAAATAGCTAAAGGTTTGGCAAGTCTGGATCTCCCCCTCTCGGCAAAATCCTAGATGCAACCCTTATCATGCAAAGATTCGCTTATGTAAAAAGAATAATCGTCGTCATTTAGATTCATGAAATCAAGCTCTGGTGAAAACACCTATTGTTACAGGGACACTGCAAAAAGCCTCCATTTGAAACTTACAAATCCTTGCCTTACTTACTAGAATTTTTCCCCTCTTGCTTTGCTTTTCGACACTTCCCTTCGTCGCTGATGGTAAAGCGGTCAAATTTGAGATCCCTGAAGTCGGTCACTGGCTGACGGTAATTCTTCATTTTGTTGTCACCCGCGAGAAAATGAGATCCGCTTAGATGGCGCACTCTGAGATGAATTTTGTCAGGTATTTTTGGATCTTGTTTCTCAGAACCG